AGCGGGGCCGCCGCGGGAGGTGGCTGGCTCCCACCGCGGACCCGCACTGAGGAGCCCCTCGCCCCCTTTGCTCCGCAGACAGCAAGATCCCCGAGGCCACGGGGCTGTGCCGCACCGTCCTGCCCCATCCGGAGCCTTCCCAAGGGCGCTTCTCCGCGGAATCCCACCTCACCGAGGCTGCCGATGGCACCTCCGAGTCAGCGCCCAGCTGCGAGGGCAGCGTCTGTGACAGGGGGTCTGTGACAGGGTGTCCGAGTTTGAGGATTTCTGGAGACCTCCATCACCCTCCGTCTCACCAGGTAGGACCGGGGCAAGAGGGTCTGGCTACATGGCTATGTCGGTGCCGTGGGACAAAGTCTCATGGCTGGATGTTCGGAAGCGAGTTGAAGGGACAGATTTTCCTTTTCTCACACATTAGGAAAATACAAATCTGTCCCTTCCACTCGTTTTCAGGTTATCTCTTTCGGGTTGCTTTTCCAGCCTGTCTCCCACTGCTGAGGGAGCAGTGGGTGACAGGCTGTAGAAAAGTTGTGATGCCATTGGGCGTTGATTGTTTGGTTTCTGATTAATTGCTAGAAGCATAGCCGGTTATGTTTTTGAAGGTCCCGGCATTTTCCAAGGGGGTCCTGCTACCCGCAATTTAGATGTTTTTTAAGACAGTAAAAATTTCTCCTAGGCTATCTATATACTTGCAGTAAACAGGATTGACTTTGTGTTTTGTACTACCTGCTAGGCGTTTTCCCTAACTGCACTTCAGGTTATTTCTTGCCTCTTGCCTATAAAAAGGATCTCTCCCTCCCTACCCCCGTTCTCTTTTTTTTTTTTAATTTTCTAAAAAAGCATTCGTAAAAACCAGATGAAAATAATGACGGTCAGATTTAAACACCCCAAATCCAGGAAACTCGCACTTATGGCTGCAGCGCCTGTCTCTAGCTCCCTTGTCCTGCCTTTGATGTGGTTGGAGCAGTGGGAGATGCTGTCCCCAGCCTGGCGTGAATACTTATCTCATTTAAAAATACAATGGTGTCATTTTATAACAAAAATATGTATATATAAAAACCACTTTTTATTGCCTTGGTTAAAAAGTGACAGCTGGAAAAAAGAACAATTTCTGTCTTGGCGAAGGAAAAATTGTCTGAGCTTTACTGACTGACAGCAGATGCCAGCAAGCGAATAGTCCAGTTTCTTCACCGATTTTCCAACTTCGTCTTTGTTGTGCCCTTGCACATCAGCGGCTAATTGTAATTATATGGGTTTGCATTTTTAAAGCCTCCTCCTCTTTTAAGAGTCCAAAAGCCCTTTGAGGGGACATTCAAAATGCTGCCCAGTATCATCACAGCAAGTCACGGGACAGTTTCAGCCTGTGCAAATGACAGACTGGACCAAATGCAGCAATGCAGCAGTCTCTCTTTTGCTAATATTTCTGCACAAAGTGTAGCAATGTGTGTAATTTTTTGTTCTAACAAATTTGTCCCGCTCCTTCTTCCCCAAATAATTACAATTTCTGCGCGGGAAGCAGACAATTTTCACAAGGTGTCTAAAAGACAGATGTAAAATGGAGCACTTATTTACCAGGGCTGCTCTGTCTTTTCCTCCTCCCCACTCATTTTTCCCCCTGCTGTGGGATTCATTAGTTCCCATCCAACCATCCAGCTACCTGGGAAAGGTAGCTTTGCAAAATGAGGGTGACATGCCAGATCACGATTTTTTGGAGGCAGTGGGGGAGGGTGGTCCTGGGACTGTCTGATCCCATTCGCAGGCAGAAGGGAACAGGAAGGTAAGGGACTCCAAGTACTGTAAGGAAAGAGCTTTATTGAATGAACCTCAGTGCACTGAGAGACATACTGTTACATTAATGATGAAGGCAGTGGCAGCAGGATTAGTCAGGCTTCCTCTCACAGCTCCCCCCAACCCCTCAGCCTTCCAGCTTCTTTGTCAGATTCAGTGCAAACCTGGAATTTGTGCCTAGGTTACTTCTGTAAGATGCACTGGTGAGAGACTGGATTTCTAAGATTGTGTTTGGGTGGGGCACGGTTTCTGTGCTTTGACAGGCAGGGCAGGTGAGAAATGATGTTTCTAAATCATGTTCAGGGCAGGTGCGGTGAGGAGTACTGTCACCCCCTTATCCCTGGAAGTGACCATAGGTGCAGGTTGCACTTCAATACTCAGTGAAAGCCAGATTTCAGGTTTGTCTTTGAGCTCTGTGCAGCTGATCCAGGCAGGCGTGCACAGATACAATACCTGTTAACGCTCTAATACCTTGTTGACTCCATCAGTGTAAATCACTTTGTTATTTAACCTCACTTTTTATGTGTGTCTGTAATCGCATGTGTTTGCATATACAGAAGGTGTCTTATAGCTCCGTGCAGCAGTATATTAGTATCTCCTGACCAGCCTGTTGATGCTGCAGTCTTGGAGGGAGGCTTTTACTGGGTATAATGGAGTTGTGCAGAGAGCATGGTGTTTTGTGGTCTGGAGGAGTACACTTGAATCTTCTGTTGCTGTGCGTATCAGTCTGTTCCCAGCCATTTCAGGTTGAGTTCGCCTTGCCTTCAAAAAAGAACAGTGATGTTTTTTCTCCCAGAAGTGGTCTATGTAAAGGCTGCACAGAATTGCTAGGAAGAGGAGGGAGAATCTGTCTCTCCCTCCCACTCACCCCTTGGAGGCCTAGATGCTGTGGAGTGGAGGAGAGGCAGACACAGACGTGCCCTGCAGTGTGGCAGATCTGGGTTTGCAGGTCATCTTGATACCGGGTACAGGGCTAGGATGGCTTGAGCTTGCACCTGAGAAGTATAGTGTGAGTGGCTCCCCTGCACTTGTGCTTGAGAGGTCTCCAAAGCATGTGAGGAGATGGAAGGAACATTGCATGCAAGCTGATCTGTGGTGCAATGTTCACCGTGTCCCATGTTGCCAATTCCAAGGGCTCAAAAATCAGGTCAGCCTTCCCTCTCCTCTTATTCAATGGGCTGGCTTACAAATCAAGATTGTAAGTAATACTTTATGGATATTCAGTTCTGCTGTTGAAATATTGAGGGTTTACGTTTTCACGCTTTTCTTTACAGTCTGGGCTAGTAGTTGATCTTAAGAGGAAAAAAAAGCTAAAACAAGAACAAGCAAACAAAAGGAAAGCTGAGGGCCTGATGAAATCATGCAGTTTCAAGAGCTGGGACTTTAAGATAGTTTTGAACCTTGCGATAAAATCGTGAGAGATGGCAACACTGAAACTGGTTGCAAAGACACAAGATAGATGATGTGATGCTGACCACAACTTTGCAGTCAGTGCAGAACAGGAAAAATCGTGCTCAGCACCATGTCAGCTAATTTGATTTCATCGCTCTGTTCAAATGTCCCAGTTGGTATGTGCACATATATTTTCCAACCAAAAGACTGCTAATTTCAGTGGAAGAATTTGAGACCGTTAACATCTGAAATTATGTAAAAGATTGGAAACAGTCAAGTCATTCAAAGATCACTTTTCACTTCATTTCCCACTCCCTTCTGTAACCCTCAGTGCCTATCCAAATGGATAGCCTAACACATCATGCCTTCCTTCCTTAGCCCACCCTGGTTATCTTGTTTTGCCAAAGGCTGAGAAAGCCATGGGAGCTGTAAAGCTGACAGGAATTAAAAAAGCAAGAGAGCAATTGTGGGTGGACAAGTTTTTGGGTAAGGGGGGTTATTCTGGAAGCCCAGGTTGTAAGGGATGCCAATATCTCTCTGAAGGCATCAGCACTTCAGCAGTTAATTGATTAATCTTTTCCTTGGTTCAGTGAAACGTTTGTCCAGTGGAGACATTGGACACTTCCAGTGCTGCCTGTCGTGATGAAGAGTAAAAGAAAAGCACCTCAGGCGTTAATCAGCATCTCTGGCAGACACAGCTGGGGTCTAGTACCTCAGGTTCCCTGCCCAATTGTGCTTTCCTCTATGCAAGGCTCCCTGAGCATTTGTACCTTTAAAAGACACTGATTGCAAAGGCTGTGTTGCTGCTATTGCATCAGACTCTGCTATGGGCCCCCCAGGTATGATTCATCTTGTGGTGCCCACTGCCTTGGTCAGATGTCATTGCCAAAGGTGAGCCTGTTGGAGCCATCTGAGCTTGTCCTGGTTGGAAGATCACTTTGATTATGACTGCTAGGAAAATCTTTTTTGTGTCTTCAATTTTTAATGTGGCCTATATGGATGATTTTGCAAAGCTCTATGTTTTGGGTCAACTCAGTTTCTTTACTTGGAGAAACTCGGAGCAATCTGAAGCAACCGTGATTTTATTTCAGATGAGGACTGGTTTTAGTTTACTTTTTTCTGAAAAAGTGAGGCATAACATTCAAGCACCTCAGAAGCTGTTCTTTACTTCAATTATACCATAGTATAGTTACAGACAGTTGTGTCATTAAGTTGAGAGACTAGATTTGGGCATTAAATTGTGTAACAAGCAGGTTTTAGTTTTGTTGATCAGGTAAATCTCGGCACGCTTGTTCCTTCGGGTGCCTCTGTAATGTCATATTTGCTATATCGATATGTGGGATCTACATCAGAGCTTAAACCTGTGGACTGTCAGCTTTGATGCCCATCTTGGGACAGAGTAGATATACTTTTCTGAGGAGCTGCAGATAAAACCAAAGGAAGTTGCAGACTGAGTTGTATAGCATCTCAACAGTCAGATCAGTGTGTACACACATGGGCACCCAGAGATGGAGGTAGACAAAATTGGTGGCTGCTTTAAATAATTAGTCTGGGACAGTGGCTGAGTAGGTAGTACTGGGTGCGCAGACCCTACTGTGCAATATAAAATGTCCTCCCATTAGAGATGAAAGGGCAGTCTTAATGTGCAGTACAGGGGTCTGGCTCTGGGCAAAAGTCGTGAGTGCTGAGATGATTCTGCCCCATGATAGTGGCTGGATTGTGAAGTGCACTAATTCCCATGCCCTTGTGTTTCCGCAGCCTCGGCGCGATCTGTGTGTCCATCCCTAGATGAAGCACCCCCGTTCTCGGTGCCCTTCAAACCGTACATGTGGAACAGCCTGGGTGGCTCTGAGCTGAGGCACCTTGTCCAAAGCTACAGGCCCTGCCCGACGCTGGAGCGAACCCCAGCCTTGGGACTCTTCTGCGAGCGAGGCTCCGAGCCAGCCCTCTATGGTGCAGAGCGTAACTCTTCCCTTGGACTTTATGGTGACTTTGGCTCCCCGGGCCTGGGGCTCTTTGAGCGGCCACCGGCAGCAGCACCCGGACTCTATGCTGAGACGCAGCCTGGGCTGCAGCAAGAGAAGGGGCCAGGTGGCATCAAAGTGGAGTCGGACCTCTTGTGTCGCCCATTGCTCATCAGCACTGGCTCCTACAAGTGTGTCAAGTGCAGCAAGGTAGGGATCCGTTTCTCGCACACTGGTTATGACTCTTCACCAGCCCCTTCTTCCTGGCAAGCCTGACCCCATATGCTCTTTCCCCTCAGGTCTTCTCCACGCCACATGGCCTTGAGGTACATGTGCGCCGCTCACACAGTGGCACGAGGCCCTTTGCCTGTGATATGTGTGGCAAGACCTTCGGCCATGCAGTCAGCCTGGAGCAGCACAAGGCCGTGCACTCGCAGGTGAGAGTGGGGCAGACTGCCAGGATGAAGGTCTGAGGGCCAGGGCCAGCTGCTTGCTTTGGCTGGCTCTGGAGAGGCTGTGAAGGCAATCAGGGGGCAGTAGGTGGGCATCTAAACTGAGGCGAGGAGGAGAACGTGGTAGGGCTGCAGTGGGCAGTTTTGGGTGAAGAATATGGTGACAGGCAGAGAAAAGGGTAGGTAGCTAGTGAACAAAGTAGCAAATCAACAAATTAAAGAACACAGGCTTTGTTTCCATTCCCCAGACCTTGCGTGCTTTTGTATGAAGCAATGGGCACTTTTGGCACTCCAGAAGTAACAGATAATAAATAATAAATTTTCACTCTCAGAAGGGAAATTGTAATGCGGATGTGGACTTTTTTTAGCAGCTAAAGCAACTCACTGTGCTTTCTTTTGACGCAGCTCTCCTCATTCTTTCTCCTCCCCTGCTGCAAAGAAGTGACTCTTCCCTTGTTTGTAGTCATTGTGTCTGTGCAGGGAACATCTGAACGACCAGTCAGGTAATAGAGCACAGACTTCACCCGTCTCGACACACTCTGAGTCACACACTAAAAGAATATGGTAGTTAACTTTGGTAGGAGGACTTGTAACATTTTCCGCCTGCTGATATTGTGCCATATTTCCCCTTCACCCACCCACTTGACCTGGCAAATCATCCTTCTTCAGATTGCCTTTTGGAGGATAGAGTTACAGCAGTGGTTTTTTGCTAGCTGTTTTATTTACAATTTCATGAGTGTGCAACAGCAGAGCATACAGTGAGGGGAAATATCTCGTCACCCATTAAATAACAGTGAAAAGAGTAGCACTGCATATTGTGTCCATGGAGGGGACATTTCAGGGAGAGTGCATTGAAAGCCAGATAAACTAAGGTGATTGTATGAAAGCATAGCAGGAAGAGGAAGATGTGATGGTAGTTAAGGGATGGAAAGAAGAGATGATTTATGGTGGAAGAATGTGGTGGAGGGGAGTGTGTGAGGGAGAGAGACAGCAGAGTCTTAAAGTAGTAAGCCAAAAAGCTTTTCCCCAGGTGCTCTAGGTACCTTTGACATGAATTTTAATGGAATTACAAATAAGCAGTTAGTTATTACCCTGACAGAAAAGTCAGGCTGCCACAGATATTTCCCAGGTGAACCAAACAGGCCTCAGCACCCTGTTTCCCGTGTACAGTGGAGAGGTGGCCTCTGAACAGTTGCTGCAACTGTTGGACTTCCCACAGTGGAATGATCATGTCTTGGGCCCCTGTTGAAATGTGCCGGTGTACTCTGCCTGGTCAGCTGGGGCTGCTCCCACTTGGCCATTCCTGCCAGCAGGAAGAGCTGTTCAATTAAATTTTTGTGAGGAGTGGTGCACAGCACTGGGAGAGGGTGCATTATCTTTTTTAATCGTGTGGTACTATCGTGCCAGTGTTAACATCTCTACAGGCCAGTCCAGCTCTCTGGAGAAGTGGAAGTGCTTGCTAAGGCAGAAGGGGCAACACTGATGCGCTGCTGGGCGGTTTGTTGCTGGTGGGATTGTTGGTGTGGTGTAATGCATGCGTGTTTGGGCTTCTCTCTCTACAGGAACGCAGCTTTGACTGTAAGATTTGTGGCAAGAGTTTTAAGAGATCTTCTACGCTGTCCACCCACCTGCTCATCCACTCGGACACCCGGCCCTATCCATGCCAGTACTGTGGGAAGCGGTTCCACCAGAAATCTGATATGAAGAAACACACCTTTATTCACACAGGTCAGCCCTGCAGCTGCTGCTGTTCTGTCCCAGCTGTGAGGGCAGGTCTCTGAAGAGGTCTCTCTGAAGCAGTCCAGTCTTCCTCAGTTGGGACAGTACCTCTGCATGCTTCTCACTGCCTTGCTGCTGTTCATGCTATCTGAGCTCTACTTGTGCAAAGGAGGGTGATTTAAATGTGGCTTCATGAGCAGCAGCTGGAAAATAACCCAAATCCTCACAATCCAATCAGTGTTCCCTTAATAGGATCTACCAATGTTTATTCAGAGGGCTTTGTGTTAGATGATTTGTAGAGTATTAGGTTCATGTAGCCTTGATTTACAGCTGTGGTCCCTGGAAAATGACAGGTGAATTTGATTGGAGCATTTCTTTTTGCAGGATCTGCCAATTTACAAGTCTCCTCCTCTAGATCAAACACTAAACTAGAGGGCCTAGGGTCAAACTCTTAGTTTAAATATTTGTTCAAAGATTTGTCTGCGCTTCCACCCAGACTTTCTGAGAAATGGCTGCAGTTTGATACAGAATGGAAGGAGAGGTGCAGAGTTCTCAAGTTTCACTGTTAGTAATAAACATGGAAACTGATAAAGTGTAGGTGAATCACTGAAGGAAATTGTTTTAAAAATATAATTCAGTGAGAGGGCAAGTTTATCAGAAATCTTTTAAAAAAAAGTCTTGTCTATCAGTCCTGCACCATTCACTTAGAGTAGAGGGGAATGAATGACCAAAGCCAAGGTTCAGATAATCAAAATCCTGTTTCCTGATAGTGACCTCTAGCAGATATCAAGGGTGAAGCCTAAAAATGGCAAATATGTAGAAAGATGGCATTATAGGTAGTGCTGCTTGGTTGTGACTTTTCTAGATGACAAGCAGTGAACAATACTTATAAAGATTTTCCACCAGCTATTTGCTAGATGAAAATGAACTATTTAGAAAGTAATACAAAAAGTATTTCCATAGTAACTTTTTCAAATGAATCTTAATTGAGTAGAATTTCAGCTAAATTCAGAATCAGTCAAACCCATTATTTTGTTGTGGGATCAGAAACTGGGCTTTTAAATTGCTAATATAAAACCAGTTCCTTAACTGAATCAGAGATCATTTTCATGTGCAGCATACTCTTGTGAACTGAGCCTCCAGCACATTTTGTATTATTTTATGTTTCTAAGAATCAGATCTTCAAAGATGCAAAGAATTTGTTGCTCCAGCTGAAGTCAGTGGGCTCTGCAGGTGCAAAGCCACTTGGAAAATCAGGCTTGGTTTTGTGGTTGGGTTCCCCTTTTTCCGTTATTTGATAATAAACATAATGAAAATGCACTGAGATCCTGCTCCCATGGAGGCCAGTAGAGTTTTGTCACTGACCCCGCTGTAGGAGAAGTTCCAGAGGCTGGATTTATTCCCGTTTACATTATTTGCCTGCGGGAGAACTTCAGGGCTGGCTCAGGGTGACTGCTAGCATTTCAGTGTGTGGAATGGAGAGAAGAACAGATCTCTGGATGAACCCTGCCCTTCAGGGTTCACTTAAGCACCCTCATACATCCCTTGGGGAGAAACCTCAGCTCACTGGGTTTGGCTTAACAACTTCCATCTCTATTCCACCTGCCCCCATGCTGCTGCTGTAATCATCTATGTCAGGCATTCAGCACCACCTGGGGGTCTTTCCAGGAGTTCCTTATGTTCCTAGAACACAAAGCTAGCTTAAATCACACAGAGCACATGCAGCCAAATGTATTCCCAAGTTCTGGTGTCCTGAGAGCACTCTGTGCTTCAGGCTGCTCCCAGGACTATACTGGGATGATGGAGGTGCAGCCAAGTCCAGGTCTGCTCAGCAGCAGTGCAGGCCCAGCTAATGCTTTGGGGCTCCCAATTGCATGTTTTTTATAGAATGACTTCTTTGGTAATCACACAGGACTCCCTTTGCTTAGCTCTAAGGCCCAGTGTACATTTCCTGTTTGCTCTGGTCCTGCGTAAGCAGCATGTTGCCTCTTTCACACTGTCTTTCTCTCCCTCTCTCCTACCTTCTGCTTGCAGGTGAGAAGCCTCACAAGTGCCAGGTGTGTGGAAAAGCCTTTAGTCAGAGCTCCAACCTCATCACCCACAGTCGGAAGCACACAGGCTTCAAGCCCTTTGGCTGTGATCTATGTGGCAAAGGCTTCCAACGAAAGGTGGATTTACGGAGACACCGGGAGACACAGCATGGCTTGAAATGAGTCCCAGCTGCAATATGGAAAGCACCTTACAACACTATGAGAACAGACTCCCTTGGCTTCCCCGTTGGACCCAAGCCCTGAGCACAGACCCTGGCATTAACTTTCTGACCAGGAGCTCCGAGAGGAAAGAAGATGAGAGGGCCATGCATTGACAGCTCAACTGGAGTGACTCTGAAAGCAGAAATTAAAGGCTGGGGTTTCTCTCTTTCTCTTCCCTTCTCTGTTTCTGAAATAACACTGGAAAATAAGCCTTTTAGATATGAAGCCTGATATTCCAAAGATGGATAAGCTACCAGGTGTCTGTAAGCTGGAAAATATTTCTCCCATGGCCAAGATGAACCCTCCGAAGTTTTCAATACTTTCAATCACCTTGCAGGGAAACATGGGTGTAAAAGTGTTTACATGGAAATGACAGAGAGCCATCAGCACGTGGTGTAGGGAGCACTTGCCTTGGTTGAGTTTCAGTGCTGAATGGCTTCACACTTGGTTTCCCGTCAGGAAAACCTGGAGGATCAGGACTGAACTGTGCAGTTTGACATCTTGCTGGTTTGTAAGCAAAACTACTAGCTTGGGCCTGATCTTGCTTTCACTTGTTCTGGTGCAAATCAGGGCCTGCATTAACAGTTATAGAGAGGCCCCTTTTATTCTCCTAGAGCCATCTCCCTGTGCAAGGCTTGGCTGTGTGCGTGTGTGTTTGAGGCATGGGAGGGATTGCTACATCCACTGGGGAGAAGGACGTTTGTGAAAGACAAGTGGAAAAGCCAAAGCACAGAGTTAACGTCTTACAAATAGAAACCCATCCAACAAGTGATCCTGACTGAGGAGGGCAGGAACACTGGGGAGGCACAGACTTTCTGTCCAGAACCATTACTGGCTTCCACACTCTAGGCTTGTTCTAATAACTGGAAAATAGCTACTCAATAGCATCATTTGTATATTTGGTTTTGTTTTTTTAATTTTTAAAGGGAAACTCAGATGAGGTGGGCAGGAATCATTATAAAAGTATAATTGACTGTATTTGCCTTAAATGACCCTGCGTGTACCTCAGTTAAAAAAATGCTGTTTTTACTTTGTTGACAGGTTTGTATACCTTGTTTAGATTTTATGGAGTGTCTTATGTTTATTGGTACGTATTTATTGGAACAATGTTTTAAGTTAATAAAGTATTAAGGATGGTCCAGAGTGATTTTTATTTAATATGTAACTTCAGCACATTTGTGTTTGTCAGCTGTTACAATGATACACCACAGTGATAGTCAGGGATACGGCATTCAAAGAAGGAATGCAGGCACAGCAGACTTTGCACAAGGGCTCTTGTGATTAAACAATACCACTGCCATATTTATTTCTCCAACTCCCCCTGATTTCAGTTAAAAACTTCACACTTCTGAAGTCTGGGGTGTAGTCTGTTTAGGTTTACCACCATAAAAGAGTTTAGAGGGAAAACATTTTTAAGTGTCTGCTTTGGAAATGCAGACTGCCAGAAGTCTCTGCTTCGCCCAGGAGGAACTTGAACATCCTCCTGCAAGATTAAATGTCTGTGCCTGGGAGCCTACAGGGACACCTGAGCAGCAGGTGCATCACTTATACTTAAGCCGGTTGGGACTCACAGAATTGCTTTTTGCCTACCTGCCTTGTCAGCAGGGCTCACTCCATCTGGCAGTCGCAGCCCCTACAAAAGAGAAGCAGGAGGATGACAGAGGAGTCCCTTGTCCTTTTCCCAGCAGAGCACAGCGCAGCAGCCTGGTCTTTTACATGTGCCCACATGGATATATACTCTTGTTTCCAGCTTTGTGCTTTTATTCTGGATGAAACCAGTGAGCAGAGGCCCCCTCTGGCCCGTGGGGCTGGCCCAGCCCTCGGGAGACCCTGCCCACCTGAGGGTCCTGGCACTCTACATGCCAGGGTGCTACCCAGGTCCCTCCCTGCTTCAGCTTTCTGCCACCTCTGAGGACTCCAGAGGCAGTCCCTTCCTCGCAGGCTGTGGCTGAGTCTCCGCAGCGTTACCCCAGGATGTGCCGCCTGGGCAGGGGTCAGCCCTTCCACACACAGTTGCCCACACCAAGGCTTCACAGACAGGGCGCCATTAGACAGAAACATGCAGCCAGGGTGAGAGGCTGCGGCACAGGCACCACAGGAGGTGCCAGGAGCTCTGAAGAGCACATTAGGCCCATTTTGCTGGGTTAATTAATGCGGAAGATCAGTGTAGGAGACTAAGTGGTAACAGGGAAGAGGCGCCTGGTGGTGGCCTGGGCCCTGCCCAGATCAGGGGAGGCTCAGAGGAGCAGCTGAGCAGGTGTCACAGGTAGGCTTGGGGCTGCCCCTGGGGCAATGTTCGATATTTATTTTATGGGGAAGCTGCTGTTGGGGGTGGGATGAGTGCTGGCTGGAGGGTACCAGGCAGGGGGTGG